CCCGACCCTCGCCAAAGTGCTAGGGCCAGCTTGGTGTATGGTTATTGTTTTCCTGTAGCTTGAGCTGCTTTTGGGGTGTGTGAGATGGGGGGGAGGGACCCCAGTAACCTCAGAAACTTGGTTGTGGGTCCTGGCCAAGAAGCATATGAACTTCCCCAGAGGGTGGATATTCCAGGCAGGCCTCCATCCTCCTGCGACTGGCTTGCATGAGGGGCTTGGAGGGGACCAAGAGCCTCAGTTGGAGGGGGAACCGATTCTTTGCCTTTCACTCCTTGCAGCAGGCAGAGCTCCTGTGTCATCCAGCTTAAGGAAAAACGGGGCCAGCTGGTCAGAGGATGCAGCTAAAACAGGCACAAATACTGCTAGAGATGGTCCTGGAAGTTGCTACCAAACAAGGACCCCCTCTGGGGTCCCGATTCCCCCTCCGAAGGGAAGTTTCCATGCTAATGAAATGCTGCACTTGAGTCCTCCTCCACCTGGAGGCAGTTGTGTACACGGGACCCAAAGCCTGGCCCTTCAAGCCGTTGGCCCGGCCTTTCGGACCCTGTACTGGGCGGTGTGCTCGCTGCATAGGCCCTTTGACGCTCCCACCCAGAAATGACGACAGGGCCAGTGAGGCTGACAGTCTTGCTGTAATTGGGAGAAAATGGGCTGCAGCACATTTGGCAGAGAGAGTCACCAGCAGCCAGAGTTGGGGTTGTGCGGGCAGCCGAGGGGCTCAGGGCCCCCTGCCTCACGTGGTGAAGAAAGGAAGAAGAAAGGTCAAATTCTAACCCAGATGGGAAAGTTGGTCCCAGGGGGGCAGTTTCGCTTCCTCTCCTCACTCGCAGGAAGGTGGGGAAACGGCATCATCTCCCCTTGCTGCCGAAGTTTCCTTCGGAAGAGGCTGGGGAGTTTCTAAAAATCTCCTACCTAGTGGAGACGACCTCCTCCACAGGCCCCCAGTTGGCCTCTGCTCTCTTCCAGCCACTTCACAGCAGAGTACAAATCCAGAACCATGTGTTTCGTGGGCCTGAGGGTGGTGAGGGGAGGACAGGGTGGCCAGAGGCAAAGGGTCAGGGGTCAGGGGCAGTGGCCATTCTCAGCAGTTCTAGGGAAACAGGGCCTTTCTCCCCAGCACCCTGCACAGGCTCAGCGGCAGCACTGGCCACCTGCCCTCCCAAAAGGCTTCCAAACCCCCACGAAGTGCCTCAGGGTAGAGAGGGTTCAGGCAAGGAAGACCACAAAGATGATGAAGAAGACAATGAGGATGAGGAAGATTTTGACCATGAGCCACCGGTTAGAGGTGACCGACTGGAAGTACTTGAGGATCTCTGAATGAGCGGCGTCAACATCCAGCTGAGCTCCCAGCACGTTCTCGTCGATCCTGGGGACAGAGCCAAAAGAGGAAAGAGAAGGACACTGGATTAAAAAGAAGGTTATTATAGTATAGTTACGGACATGGGAAGATAGTCACAACGTGTGGGAGTGGGAAGTACGTACATACACTGTGATCCCATTTTTGTGTGTATGCACTTGCGTCCAGAGAAAGCTCCGGAAGGATAACGCAGACAAGTCTTGGCTCTGGTTTGAAAATTAGCTCTGCAACTTATTAGCTTATGATCTTGAGCCAGTCATTCAGCCTCCCAACTCATTTTCCTCAACTGCAAAGGAGGGAAAATGAGGATACACCAACCCGGCCTCTCCGGTCGTTGTCGGCCTTAAATGAGTTAACAGGAGGTGCCCAACCCTTAGTAAGAGCCGCCAAAATGTTGGCTATTTGAATTTTTTGCTCATCAGGATTGATTGGTTTTCGTCTAAAAAACAGTATTGAATTTGTAACAAGGCGGGGGGGGGGGGGGGGGGGGGGACGGCCATAGACCATTAGAGTTAGGAAATCCCAGCTCTGAGTTAAGACAGGAAGAAAAACTGCATGATATGGACAGGAAGTCAGGGGAGAAGAAAAGCCCTGCAATTAGTCGAACATGTCTCTCCAGCATATAGAGAAGTCCTCATATGAAGGGCCACCTCTTGAGACACTGCTGAGGAAAATAAAACATTTCCCTGCCAAACTGCATATGCAATCCTGAAAACCCAATACAAACCCAGGTCTTTGCAAAGGGAGCCCCTGGGAGCAGAGACCTCTGTGAGCTCCGGGGACAGAAAAGGTGGAGCCCTGTAATCCAGTTGGAACATGAGAGGCTGGGCCAGTGGCTGTAAGCCCAAGGTCCTCAGAAGGTGCTCGTGAGAACTGTGAACTAATCTCTGTCCAAATACAAGAGCCCAGGGGTGCCGGCTGGCTTATTCAAAAGAGCATGTGACTCTTGATCTTGGGGTTGTTGAGTTCAAGCCCCGTGTTAAGTGTAGAGATTACACACATGAATACATTTAAAAAGAATTCAGATACAGGAGCCTGGACTGTACATGATTCCCTATTTATATCAGAGTGGCTAACTAAATTAGTATCAGGTTTCCTACCTTTGGGCTGGAATTTCATTTCTCAGTGTGGATTCCACTGTCATACCCCAGAAAGCTCATCTTGACCATTAGGAATGGCTTTACTTAACAAAAATGGATAGTCTATGCAGTCTGGCATAAGAAAGATTTTAAACTTTTAAAATTATTTATTTATTTTGAGAGAGACAGAGAGAGAGTGTGCACAGGGGAGGGGCAGAGAGAGAGGGAGAGAGAACCCCAAGCAGGCTCCACACTGTCAACGCAGAGCACGCCTCAGGGCCCGAAACCACGAACCATGAGATCACGACCCAAGCCGAAATCAAGCATAGGACACCCAACCAACTGAGCCACCCAGGTGCCCTTGGCCTAAGAAAGATTTTAAATGGGAATCCATGAATGAAAACTAATGGCAGAGGGTACTGGTGGTGAAAAATTAGGTATTGGCAGGATACTCGGAGAAAGTAGGGGAGAGTAAAGATGGAAATGACGGGGGTGGAAAATAATGGCTTGGGAAGAAGGCTGAAGAAAATAGAAAGGGGACAAGTCTGCAAGGTGGGGAGGACAAAGGGGTGGATGGATGGAGAGGCAGGAAAACCCAGAGCACGAGAAGGTGTGTGTACGTTGGGGGTGACAGTAAAAAGGAGGTTGAATGGAAGAAAACACTAAGCCTAGGGACTGGAAAGATTATTTGACCACAATTCAGAGATCTGAGACTTTAGTTTTCGGAGTGTAAGTTTCCCCAAAGCTTCCTAAGGACCAACAGAGGAGTTGGGTCATGTTCAGAGGATACAGAAACTGCCTTTAAGGAGCTCCACAAGGCCAGGTTTAGGAAATCTGACTGTAATAACAAAATAATGATGGGGCACCCGGGTGGCTCAGCTGGTTGTGTGGAACTCTGGCTCAGGTCATGATCCCATGGTTCGTGGGTTCGAGCCCCATGTCAGGCTCTGTGCTGACAGCTCAGAGTCTGGAGCCTGCTTCGGATTCTGTGTCTCCCTCTTTCTAACCCCTCTCCCGCTCACACTCTGTCTCTAA